CATGCTCAGAAAAACAAAACTTTCCTTAGCCACACAATGGCCACACTGCGTATCGGCTTGGCGTACAGCTAGGCCTAGCCGAGAATTACGGTACGGTAAAACAAAGCAAAATAAGGGTACTAATTTCACTTGGCATGCAAATCAATCATACTCACACACTTAAAAACAAACTAGTCTACCACTAAAATCACCTGCAAATTAAGATATAAGGCAAGTATGTCTACAAATTTGATTTTAAATTAATGTGGTTAGGCTAGCCTAGACCCGGCCTAGGCCATGTCTAACCGCTTATAAAAATGCAGAAAAAAGACCCAAAACAAATTAGAATGAAGTTATCAACTAACTAGTGCATTCAAATTATTCATATACTTACTACGTACCTATATGAAATTAAAATGTATTGCTCACAAACGCCAATATTTGGATTTTAATAGGCCTTTTCCACGAATCGGTAGACATCTTGAAGTGATGACAAACAGCCTAAGTCAGTGGTGCGTAACAAACAAAAATAAGATAAGCTAGGCCTAGCTGCTGTACGCCAAGCCGATACGCAGTGTGGCCATTGTGTGGCTAAGGAAAGTTTTGTTTTTCTGAGCAGTGCAGATTGTGCTTATCTGGCTCATTTGCATAAAAATACCACACATAAGTCTAATTCAAGTTAGACGGCTTAAACCAGCCAGCTTCCTATCCTGGTAACAGTTAAAAGTCCTTGCTTTAACTGCACACGATCCAATTGTGTACACTGGGGCCTTATTCGACTCGAAGTTTCGGAAACTTCCCAGAACCAGCCCCGATATTATGGCTGTAGGTTGCAGCGACCATGCCTTAACCGCTCGGCCATTTGACTCGCCAAAGTACTGACACTTCTGGCTCAAAATTACTTTGCCAACGATTCCATACCTTAAAAAAAACACAATAATTTAAAAAGCAGGAAAAGGTGAAAAACCATAAACTAAATGAAGTAAACGCACGGATTCTGAAGTCCTGGGTTCGAATCAAAACGCTACTCAGCTATGCACATGAAGTGCTTTAGTGATATCTGATCAGACAAGAAATGTAGACCGAGTGTTAGAAAATATAGGCTACAACGCGACTACAAAAACCCTTAAAAATTACGAATAACATCCGGTGATTGTATATCTAGGTATGGAAAGTGAGGTAACTTTATAGGTCAATTATTGTTAACGTGGCGTGATTGCCTCTTGTAGTGTCATCTTCATTTCCAAATGCGTGTCTTTTTTTATTTATCAATGAATGTTGTTTATTTTTTCAGGGGTTTGCATCAACAAAAACGACGTTATATTTTAAAGTTCATTAGGACTATTTTGTAATATTGATATATGTAGCCCAGTTTTAGAATATTTCAGATTATTTTACTGCCCATGTACTCTGGATTACTTTAAGATGTTAATAAATATTGGAGAAAAGAATAGGGCTATATCCCAATCGAGATTCGAACCAAGAATTCCCGATTATTGTTTGGATACCTAGATTTTTCATTAGGACACAGTATTTCGTGCAATGAATATATAGTAGTTCTAAATCACATGATAGTATGTTAATGAGGAGGACGACGAAGGTTATGACGACGATTATGACCAAGTTAGAGAGCGATGATGGTGATTTTTATGTTAATGTTTATCTTCAAATACAGGCATACCTGGAACAATATGGCTACATGAATTCTTTATTAAAAGGAGAAAAATATACAGATGATGAGATGAAACAGGGATTAATGCGTTTCCAATCTTTCAACGGTATGGAGAAAACTGGCACAATGACGGACGAAATGCATGCAATGATGAACAAATCGAGGTGTGGACTAAGGGATATCGCGGACATACCGTCAGCATCGCCTCGTGCTAAGCGATACGTGACATATGGAACTCGCTGGTCAACCCTTGCATTAACATACAAGTAAGTAGCGAACGTTTTAATTTAGACATTAGTGCCCCTCCAAGTTGCACATTCAATTTTATTCGGGCACACTCAGTAGCATTCAACACCTCTTTGATGCATCCGAGTTAACGGGCGTTAACAAGATTACTAGTTATTCTGATGGCATTTTGCGTCAGTAGAAATAATACGAATACGAAGTGAAGTTTGCCCACCACCTAACGTGTAACAGTAGTGAACGCTCGGTACGTTCCTAAATGCTGCAAAAACAAATCTCGCAAGTGATTCGGGCGGGAATGGGAATCACGACTTCCAGATAACTAGCCTGATGTCGTAACCACTCGACCACCGAGCTAGCGCTTGGTAACTAGTGAATCCGATTCCCAAGTAACAGAGAGTGCTACAGTGCTATTCCGATGGCGTTATGTTTCGAAGAAATAATACGACTTGATGTTTGCCCTACCTAACGTTATAGTGCCAATGCTCAATACGTTCCCGAATGCTTGCGAAAAATCTTCACTAGCCACCAAGTAGACACCAAGCGCAAGCTTGTAGTCGAGTGGTTAAGACACCAGACTAGTTATTGGTCGTGGGCTCGATTCCCACCCGTATTAATCACTTGTTAGATTTTTTGCAAGCATTTGGGAACGTACTGAGCATTTGGGACAATAACACGTCAGGAGGGCAAACATCAGTTCTTAAATTTACTAGTTACCGGTAGTTAATAGTTAACAAATTAAGGTACTAGTTCAGTTAACAAGTGAACTAGTTTACGTTAAGTTAACTATTACCAATAAGTGAATTTTGAATTTGAAGGTACTAGTTATATCTTGTCACTTCATAAATCAGACTTTTGTCATCGATATCTACCATTTAAGTGGTGAGCTACTGTCTTTGAAGAGAACCAAATCTAAAAAGTTATATTTTACTAAACGCCTGCCTTACAGAGATATTATATAACTGTGTATATTAACTATACTCTTAATATTGTGCGTTGATTCTTCTTTAAAAATAGCTATCAAAGTTACTCAGGGGATCTGACAGAGCAGAATACAAGAACTGCCATAGAACGAGCATTAAAAGTTTGGAGTGACGTAACAAGTCTGACATTCACGGAAGTTAGAAAGGACAGCAGTGCAGACATTGAAATTTCGTTTACACCTCGTTATCATGGAGATGGTAATGACTTCGACGGCCCAGGAAGAGTACTCGCGCATGCATACTTTCCTGGAAATGGAATAGGAGGAGACGCTCATTTTGATGAAGATGAATTATACACTGTGAATGGTAGAGGAGGTACATAACGACATATTTGATTTCTGTAGAGACCCAAAATTGGAAAGCAAAATTAAATATTATGCAAAACGTATTAACAGCCAGAATTAGAACCAGAGCTTTTGGACAAAACTAATCCTACCTTAATGGCGAGTGAGTGACGGCAGTACATAATGCTGATACTAACAAAACAAATGGGATTAACTTTATTTATTTATTTTTTATTTATTTATTTATTTATTTATTTATTTTTTGTGAGTTTTAACACGGAAACCAATTTTCGTGACTAATTGTGTTTTTTTTTTAAGACAATAAAACTATTTTTAAATATTAGTGCATTAAATTATATATTGGTCTCATTCTGTTTTCAAGGAATTGATTTGTTTCAAGTAGCTGCACACGAATTTGGTCACAGCTTGGGTCTTGCACATTCGGAGGATCCGCAAGCGTTGATGGCGCCCTACTATGCCGGTTACATTCCGGATTTCGAGCTACCGCAAGACGACATCAATGGAATACAGTTTTTATACGGTGAGCGGGACGGTCAGTTCAGCGTGTATTTAGCACTAATGATAATAGTACCATTAAGGATAATAGTATCAACATTATTATTGATAATAACACTGATAATAATATCCTAACGATACCAATAATGATGATATTATTAATAATTATTATAATATTAATAATATAAAAAATAGTAAAGGTTATTTTTGAGCTATAAAGAAAGAATAAATACTGTAGCTGTACCATTAGGCTAAAAAATTCAATTGTTTGTTGATCTCCTCACCCGCTCCTAACTCACTGAAAAAATAGAGGCGGTTTTTTTCAGCTTTTTTCTTTACAAATAAAAAAAATGAGTGAATTGATCTGGTTTTATTTTTGTCATATGCCCTACAAAGTTGTCTAAAGTTGTTGTCTGATGTACGATATTGCCATTCTAGGCCTACATTCATTGCAAAATGTCAACTGTGGGTTATTTTTATTCCATCTGATGAGTAATCTTGAAAAAAAAAACCACCCCTTTTTATCATTTAAAAAAAGAAGGGCAAACCAACAATTAAATGGTTAGGCCTAACAACCATCATTAAAGCATTTATTACAATATGCATATTTATTTCAAGGTTCGAGCACTGATCCCCGTCCTGATACGCCAAATACTGACGGTGGCAGCACACCAGATATTTGCATTTCTAACTTAGACGCTATAAGTTACGACGGGTCTGGAGTTTATATATTCCAGGTAAGTTAACTATAGACTATTCTTGGTTGGTTCTATTTACTATGATAATAAAATAGGCCTATAATGATATATTTCGGTATGCCTATATGCTGAATACGTAAGTACATGTTAAAACAACAAACTAGGTATCCCAGTATCCCAGTGTAAACCGCTGCAACCACACACACCAGGTATACGCCTACATTTTGCAGTCTCCGGTTGATGCATGGAGGAACAATACAGTGAGTCAGTGGCGTCGAGAGGGGGAGGTCAGAGGGGAGGGGCGCTGCCCCGGGTCTACGGGGGGGCGGACCAAGATGAACAATTTTCGGGGTAAGAACAAATTCTCCATAGGGCCTGAGCCCAAGCCAGGATGAAGACTTTTGTTGTCAGAACAAACTCTTAGGAGGAGACTTAATTTGGGGAGTAGCCGAGTGGGGTCCCAAGTGAAGGGGGATGTGAGGTGTTGCCCCGGGGCCCTTACTGGCTCTTGATGCCACTGCAGTGAGTCTAAACGTATTCCTTCATGATTGATGAGGGTGACACACGTTGGCATTGTGATTGGCACAACTTGAAGATTACGGTCGCACTAGAGCCCTGTTGCGATCGGGCCTGGGCGTTCCGAGTGTGTACTCGTTTCTTGTATACAGTAGCTGCTGGAGAAAAATGCGTCATCTACAGTCTGATGATGTTCATTTTTAGTTAATCTGTTTCATTTTTTTTCTTTTGTTTTAATTTGATTGTAATTTTTTAGATTAACATTTATGTTTTTAAGACACCTGTGGATGTGTACCACTGATTAAAAAGTGCATATCTAAATAATTAAATAAATAATAATATAATAATAATAATAATAATAATAATAATAATAATAATAATAATAATAATAATAATAACAATTATTATTATTATTATTATTGTAAAATAAACGTGTGATGCATTGTTGTGCTAATCAAATTATACAAGCACAATTATGGAAGAATGAAACACTTTGTTACCATGTTGTATAATTTTGAAACAGGGAAATGATGTTACTCGTCTTGAGATAAAAGGAACTCGTATTCCTGGCTACCCAAAACCAATCTCGAATGAATTTCGACAATTAGTGAATAACATAGATGCTGCATACTTCCGATTTCGTGAAGAAACATACGTGTTTTTTAAAGGTAAACGATTTATATTGTGTTAATATAAGTTAATAGTTAAGTCACGGTTTGCATTAAAGTATGGTTCCCATAAACTCTGCCAAGATAAAAACAAAAAAACAAAAAAAAAACAAACAAACAAAATAAGTAAAAAACTTAAATAAGAAATGCGAATGCCAAAACAATAGTGAAAAACAGAAGGTGACAGGGTGGGACTTCACCACCTGATATATGGAAACAGCGTCGCTATCGCACCCGTGTGCAGGCAGGCACACGTTAAGCAGTATACTGGGGCTCCATTACCGTGCACCGCAAAGACAGTGCGCTGTCTCGATAAAGGAGAAAGTAGAGCCCAAAGCTGGCCACCAACAAATAAATGAGTCCGAAGCCGACACGAAACACCATAATGGAAGAAGACGAATATATAAAAAGATGCTTTTTTAGTGCTTTTTTAAAGCAATTGAAAGATAAAGATAATCTTGATAGGTTCAGGTGAATAGTTCCATAAATCAGGTACTGCAGACACAGTTTAATATCGTCCCTCGACGTAAGAATATCATTTTCGACCCGAAGTAATGCTGTCTCGGTGCTATGGTTTGCGCGATATACGGACTGAATATCATCTAATAAATAAGAATAACATGAGTACATTTTCCACACGTCAATGGTGTGTGAACTATAAAGAACCCGTACATCCTTCGAGACGAGTAGGGGGATACCCCGATGTACTTGAACAGACAGCCTTGGTAGTGGACGACGAGAGTTGCTGGTACCGGGTTACCGGGTAGAAGGGACCCTTAGGGGCGAAGAAAGTCATTGGTCGAGTTCCTAGTCCACTTATCAAGCGCCCTGAGCATCTTACATTAGATGGATATGTGCGCTATATAAAAACTACATTATTATTATTATTATTATTATTATTATTATTATTATTATTATTATTATTACGTCACAATAACGAGGTAGCTGATCAATACTATCATCTAACCGTAGAGGTATATGCCTATTATTGGATATCTAAACATTCATCGTTGAATTCATATCAAATTAATTACGTTGTTGTAATCAGAAGAATTGCACGAGCGCTGCATTCCGACATCATTTACGCAATCACAGGGTGACAATAACAACGAATGTGTGACTAATTTTGATATAAGATGTTTATGAATTTTCAGGCAACTTATATTGGGAGTTCGACAGGAATAGAAATCTAAAGCAAGGCTTTCCAAGAGAGACTAAGCTTCCGAGTGACTTAGATGCAGTGCTTTCGTGGAACGATTTATACACAGTTTTTACCAAAGGAGACCAACATTGGGTTTATGATGAAAGTAAAAAGAATATCGTTTTCCAGACTTATTTCCGAGGAGTTCCAGCTAATCCAGATGCAGCCTTCAGATGGCTTGATGGTATATATCATATACTTAATTATAACAAAAAAAAATGATTATTTAATTGATTGATTAATTACTTAATTGGTTAAGTATATCAGAAAGTAGTAACTTTAACTATGTTATAGCCCCGGATTTATTATGTGTTGCTTAATGTAAATGTATGTATCCAAAACTATTTTTTTTTAATGATTTTCTTAAATATAGAGCGTAGTATGATTACTAAGCAGTACGACGCCCGTCGCGTAGGCATACACTATAGGGTCACTTGGAATAGTCGCTTTAACTGAATTATTAAAATATAATTGATTGTTTAATTGATATTATTTAGAAGCGGTTTGGCGCAGCGTGACAGGTTTGATTTCCGAACTTTGAAGTCGGGGTTTCAATCCCTCGCTGTGCATTTCACTTGTGTCCTTAAGCAAGGTACTTTATCTGCATTGCTTCTCTCCACTCAGGAGTATAAATGGGTACCTGGTGGGGTTGCTTGCTCCTGCGCTGAATACAGCAGCAACACTTAGCATGTGGATCCAATGACCAGGGACAGAAGCGCTTCGTATCTGCAAAGAAAGGCGCTATATAAATATATATGACTATGACTATAAGCTTATGTTGTCTATTTATAGGCTTATTGCGGTTCAACTTTTATGTGTATTGATATATTTAAATATCTCTTGGACTTTATATAAGTAATTTACGATAATATATTAATATTGACAGTCGATTCCAAAGGAAATAAGCTTAGGTTCTGTGTAGTACAAAATGTAATTTTGCACTCCGATATTTTAATACGCATTGAGTGACAAAATTTAATGTTCATCTGTATTGACTTCCATTTTTTTTTCTTTCCACAGCTAAATTTTACTTTGTAAAGGAGGGAAATTACTATCACTACGACACGAGTCGAACCCCATATAGCGTCGATACCAATGTCTACCCTCAACCTTTCGGAGAGGATTGGTTAAGTTGTGGGCCTGGTACCTACCTCTCTACCGATCCAAACTCAGCAGCTGTTCACGTTCATAGTTTTTCTGCGTTATTGGTGACTTTAATATTTATTCTAAATATTTAAAATCAACTGTTTACGTTTACATTCGTACATCCTGCAACGGATCTAATGGTCCATAACCGTAGGGTAACATGGGCTGTATGGACCAACACCAGGCTAACTCCCTACTCGTCTTGAAAAATGCACTGGGTTCTTTGAAAGTGCACATGAGCCAATTTTGTGCACTGGGCCTACGGTTATAGTAATCATCCGAGAAAACTTGTTAACACCAACGGACCGCTAGAGCCAGTCCCTGCCTTAACCGCTCGGCCATTTGACTCGCCGGTTATTTTCTACATTGTATATACTGTATCCGATATATTACCTCAATAGGTAAATTTTATACTATGCCTTTATAAAAGATATCGAAATATGTATTAGAATAAATTTAAGTCAAATCTATACGTATCTGGGAATTTGTCTATTATTTGAGTATTGAATAATAAAGGACTATATTATCGTCATAGACAGCAAATGGTGCAAATATAGGCAGTAAAACACAAACATCTTTCATTCAGGAAAAGAATATTTAGTCTTGTCCTCTTGTCATAAGCTAAATGAATAATAAACGCTATAGTTATGCTGATGAAGTCTGAATAAAAAACATTGTTTTACTCATCGTTTTTGGACCATTTGCTGTCTCTAAAGGGCGCCCTAGCCAACTGGGCAACTGGGGGTTTGTTAAGAATTCGAATCCGATTAGGAGCAGCTGATCTTTTACGCTCAGTTGTACCATGGTTGTACATGCGTAGTCGAAAAACACAAATTCTTGATGCATTGCAAATGAGATCGATGATGCGCCCTCATCTTAATTTAACCATTTTAATGACAAGACGGGATATCTCGGAAATGATGGGCTACTTCTAATAAATAATCGTGGTATAATATAGAGATAAACTCTCAACTGTTTTGCGATAATAATAGTAATAATAATAATACATGGGTGTATGCAAGGGGTGGTCAGGAAGGTCGTACGACACCCCCCCTACCCCAAAAAAAAAAAAAAATTTCAAAGGTTCAGATTTTTTCCAAAGGCTTTTTCTCTAGAGCCTTTTCACAATGAAATAAATGAAAAAGCACTGATGAGGTACCAGCAATAAGTCCAAAGACCTTGCCAATTGCGTGACGTAATCTATCTCAATTCCAGCAATTCTGAAACTGAGCCTGCCATCCTCTTCAAGCTGTTGGCGCTGTAATCGATTTTCCACTGAAAAGGTCCAAAAAATTATGATAATACTACTACTACTACTAATAATAATAATAATAATAATAATAATAATAATAATAATAAAATAATTTAAACAAAAATAATATTATTATTAATAATAATAATAATAGGGCTATCAATTTTGAACGTTAAATAAGAGGAATCTGCGAGTGGGACAAGAGACCCGAACCCGGAACCTTCTGCTGCAGACGCCTTAATCAAACGAGGCCGCCACTAGAACTTTGGGCGTTCGAATCCGATTACCATAGGAAAAATTGATAGGGCACTCCTCTTTTGCATCAAGTACTAGTGCTGCTCAGGATATTCATTTCAAGGCGGACATTGCATACGACACAAATAAAGATGCATTCTCAACCAGTGACTCTACCTGGTAATATATACCGTACAACAAAATTCAGTAGTACCATGAACTGTTATGTGACCAGCCAACATGGTTACTGTGGTTTCACGCCAAGCTGACGTAAGCAGTGACACCGCAATGGATCAAGATTCAGAAGATTTAAGATTGAAGATTATTTTATTGTCCAAAATTCGGAAATTCTGTTTGGGTGTAAACATTTCAATTCAATTCATACAGATACAAAAATATTAACAAACATCGAAAATATAACAGGAAAAGCAAAAAGTAAGCAACATAAATATGGGGAAAAAAAGATATTGCCTATGTTATATAGTAAATAAATACAGTTAAAAGAGACAAGTGATAAACATATTTAGACATTTCAGTTTATCTTATTGCAAAATATATGAATGAGTTGAAAAATCTAGAGGTACGGCGATTAGCAGATCGTAATCTCTTTTCTGAGTATAGACATTTATTTCATTAAAAAGTGAGTGGTTTCTATCTTTTAATATTGCGATGATTTTCTTATAAATTCTTTGGCAGCATAGTCTGAGAGGTGCCTTTATCAGTTAATTTACTAGCCTTATTTAGTACACTTTTATTCTTTATATAATCTGTCTTTCTTAAACTACTGAACTATATAATACAACCAAACATAGTAACACTTTCTACAAACAATTTACAGAACAGACTAAGGATAGTGTTCTACATTTTAAAATTTAAGTCTTCTCAAAAAGTGAAGCCCTTGAGTTCCCTTTAAGTCTAGTGATCTTGGCTTGCTCACTCTAATTCAACTTATTATCAATTGTAGGGCCTAGATACTTAGGCCTACATTGTTTATTAACACAGGGACTGCTGGCCTTCGTTACGCTCCCTCCTAAAGTAAACTTTAAGTTCTTTAGTCTTTTGTTCGTTCATTTTAAGGCAGTTATCAGCAGGCAACTTAACAAAGGATGAGACTGTGTTTCTATAGCCTTTAGTTAAATTCTCTTTCCTTTAGAGTGCTTACAAGTGCTGTGTCATCAGCATACTTCAACATAAATACATCAATGTACTGAGATTGGCAGCCGTAAAGTAGAGGCGAGAGAACACATACCGTACTTGAGAGGACCCAGCATTCGTTGTATAGGGTTCAGAGTAGTGTTCAGGACTTGCACTAGCTGAACTCTATTATGAAGAAAGTTACCAATCCAGGGTCCTAGAAATGGGTTAAAATTGAGTCTCATCAGTTTATCGTAAGAATTCACGGATTTATACCGCCACCCCCCCCCCCAATAAATATGATAAATATAATATCCAATACACTGAAATTCATAAATTAGTCTATTAAACACTTTCATTCTGTGGGGGTGTTGATAGTTTACATCATACTGCATCACATAATGATAGGCCTAGAGTGTTTTAGTTTTTAGTCTTCTCCAAGGACGACCATTAGTGCAGTCTATTAATAATAGGGAGGTTCCGCAAGCTCACGAGAACGATGACGAACGGTTACATAGGGAACAGTTAAATTACACTGTTCCCTGAGCTACGTCATCAAGATTTTAGTCACTCCATCTCTTGCACTTTCATACCGATACCTGTAACAACGTAGGTCATCTCTATAACCCTATGGTCATCCATGCCTTTTACATGAATGAAGGATCATTATTCTGCTCGATATTGTCAAGAATGAATGTTTTAGGTACAAATGACGATAATGAACATGACGTATTCGTATTCGTGATACAGTTTTCGGTAGGTAGCGAAATCTCCGTAATAACCTCGAGAAATTCCCACAACCGTCTGGTAGTGTACCGAAAGCATTTACTCGCCTTGTAAGCATAAAACGTTTCTATACTAGAAATTGCAAATTGCAAGTGAAGGGCTGCGAAGTACAACTGCATATAAACGTTCTTCGAACAAAATTATTTATGCGAGTCAAGTGAAATAATGAATAATAAAAATATAACAAATAATATGAGACACGACCCATTGTCTATATTAGAACACTTATCATTGGGTAACAAAGTGGTAATTTTTCATTTTTGTCAAAAAGTGTCTATAGTGGTGAATTATGTATGGTTTAGGTTTTTTTAAAAATAAAGTTTCAAAAATTTCTATGTATGTGGAAAATGTAGTTGATTACCAAGGTTACAATTTTTATTTTGAAGACTCAGGTCTAGGAAGTGTACATTTTTTTATGGGGCAAGTTTCCAAGGGCGGGTTTTCTAGGGGCGATTTGCCAAAGAGTGTTGCCAAAGTGCGAGCCAGCGTGTTATTTGATCACAAGTGCGAGACATCACAGATGTGAGCCAGCGAACCATGACGTCACGACAATAGATACAAGACGAGTTGTGCGAGGTATCGGCTGAGATTTCTAATAATGAATTGTTGTGATGTTAAATAGACAATGTTAGCTATCAAGGAGCGACGTTGTTTTTCATTGGGACCTTCGTCCCTTCAAGGTTAGTCCTATATACCATCCTAGCTAGTCTAGGTCTAGAGTAGGATAAGGCTAGCGCGACTTGCGGACGTTGGTACGTGTTGGTTAGTCCACAAACGTCGCCTAAAGTAATTGATTTTACCCGGCAGAACGAAAGAAGGAAACTCCGCTTTTCAGTCGTATTAGGCCCTTGATTTTTGACAAACAATGACCTTTCAGAGGTCAAATTGCTGTGAAGAATATGCATTGGCTGCTTCGCAGCAATTCGCAATATTAGAATAACTATTAGGTCTATACCTATATAATGTCAATGACAAATAATAATATCCATTGGTGTTTAAGGCAGCTGAAATTATCTAATTATGAGGTGACTAACTGTGGAAAGCCATGCGTTGTATCCATGAAAAATAAATATTAAGATAAGACTCGAATATTGACACGTGCATGCTCTAGCGCCATCATCTGAATGCTAACTCTACTCTATGCACGCTTAGACACTTTAAACAACTAACAAAAACAAACTAAACAATTGAAGAAAGGAACGTAAAATTAGATTTCGATCAATAGCAGTAAACTGGTAAAGTTAAATTGAAGGCCACCAAACTTGTATGTATTTTTGGGTGGAGTTACTAAATATTATGCAGACTTAATAATGTAAATAGGCCTACCTTCACGCGATCGTTCTAAGGTAGTATCTATGTTTTCAGTCTGTTAACAGATCGATCTAGTCTAATTTCAGACTTGTTGATACCGCTGAAACTATGAAGGCATTTCGTTTATTCGTGATCCTGGGCTTACTGTCGATTACGTTTAGTAGGCGAGTATCAGTTAGTGAGGAGGTAAGTACTTTGATGAGGGGTGTATGTGTGACTATGTGCCGCTTAAGCGGCACAACTTGCCGTTTAATCAAAATAAGCGTGGTTCTGGTTCGTATCAGTCGACCTCCTAAGGACTCCAAGGGTCGTATAAGAGTATAACATGAGGGGTAGAAATAAAGTCGAATAACAGGAAAGGTCCACTACTAAGATATATAACTTTAAACATTCCTACTTAAATTTTCTCCACAATAATATTAGGTTTTAGAGACCATAATTATATATTATATTCATTACAATTTACCTATTACGTACACCCAAATAGTGCAAGTGGGATAACATGCCATAAACAGCCTTGTATCTGTTGAATAGGCCTACAATCAAGGTTATTTTCTTCCATTAAGTATCGTATGACCACGGTACGATGTACTAAAAATACTTTTTGAAAACATAGTTATTTGTTTGATATTATGAAGTTGGTTCAACTATATTGTGCACGTTTTTAAATCGATCTGGTCATTATACTTCATGGATAGGCCTACGTTTATACTTCATTGCGAGCAGGTCATTGATTGTTCTATTGTTGTCAATATTATACTTAATCAGAGATTCATGAAGTTACTAATAAACGATACAATATCTAAGAGTTGACTATGTTTTGTTCTCAATATCCTTGAATATGTGTTTTAATATTTTATCGATATTATTTATGCTCTTTACAATGCCTTATCTGTTTTAACAATTTTTCTTGTGTAAAGTGCCTTTCACATCTATTCAGGTTCCAGTTCAGGTTCCGTTTTCAGTTCTGGTTCTTCGTCCGGTTTTTGTCGATTCTGTTCAAATCTACTGCGTTTTCCGTTCCGGTTAACTGGCATCACGCAGGTCAGGCACGCAGTACGAGGAACTTGCGTCGCGAGTTGCATTGTATTGTTTGTGTTTTGAAAATTTTCTTTTATCTCATTCTTTCGTATTTCTTTTTGTAAGTTACTCATAATAAAAGTATAATCATAATAATATAATATCGAATTTCATTATGTAAGAAAATAAGGGTTACTTTTTACCAGTATCTTTCGAAATTCAATATTATTCTACACTTGAATCTAAATTAAGTTATTTGAACTGATGATAATAACAAAAGTTTTTACTAATATTTATAAAAACAATAATGTTAACTATAAATAATAAATACACTGTACTACTACTAAGAATAATATTACTCAGAATAATGAAGAATGATGATAACAATAGTTTATAATATTATTAAAACAATAATTAAAGATAATTATAATACCTAAAAATAATAATACTCATAATAATAATGATAATAATAATAACAGCTTATTATAATATTATAAAAAAAATTAATGATGTTGATAATTTAAAACAATAACATTGCAGTGATGCGTCAGGATTTCCCTTACGAGGGGTTTGAGGTTCCCGACGGAGGTGGGGGTCCACGACAAGAAAAAAAGTGACCCCCTAGTCTAGACCTGACGTAGCCTAGGCTAGCAGGCCTACATAGGCCTAATAGATGTAAAAAATCTAGTTTTGTTTAAACATAGGCTTAGGCAAGGCTAGCCATGTGACAATGTCTGAATAGATGTGAAAGGCACTTAAGGGATGGTCACCTACAAGTAGGACAGTGATGAATTCGCTATTGACAATCCTTGGCACGTGTAGTGTGTGCCTAAATAAATAAATAAATAATAATAATAATAATAATAACAATAACAATAACAATAACAATAACAATAACAATAAAATAATAATAATAATAATAATAATAACAATAACAATAATAATAACAATAACAATAACAATAACAATAACAATAACAATAATAATAATAATAATAATAATAATAATAATGTTTTTCAACTGTCTTAATAATGTGGACACCATCTTTGGTTCTAGCTATCCCCGATCCCCAGTTGATTCATTTTTGCAAAACACGCACCCACCTCCCATGGCAATCTTGGCTTCGGCTCTTGACAGTGAAACCAGGGGTGGCGCCAGGATTTGCCCGAAGTGGGCGTGGTCGGGCGTCGCCCAAAATCTCTCGAAAGTGTTCCAGGGGCGAAGTCCCCGAAAAATATAGGGGTTTCAAAGGCTTATTTAATCGATTTTAAAGTCTACTAATATGTAGTAAATACATATACATTTTATCTCTTTCCGACGAATTGTGGTTTTCCTCACCGACGGGGGTGGGGGAAAGGAAGCTCT